ATGATATAATTGACTCAGCTCGACTTACCGTTGGCATGTGTGTTTAATCAGAACCAGGGGAGGCCGTGGGAGGGTCTGCATGTTCACAGAGCGGTACCTTGTACCAGAGTTCATGTGATCCCCTCGACGTGCTCTGAGCTCTTTTATGTGCGCGTTTACACACACAGTATGCTAAGAACACGCCTTGCGCAGTATGCCGCCTCACAAATCAAAGGACTGCTGGCATGCAGGGGAGCAGGTCTGTGAAAACAGGAGAGGGCAGACAGCTGCAGCGGTTTGAAGACGTGTTGGAGTTGAAATGTCAGTTCAGGCTGATGCTGCCCTTATCTTCCTCTTTTTCCTCTCCTCCTCATAAAGGGTTGAGTCCAGCACTTGAATCTTTTATTTCCAGTTGCTATCACGCTGTAGAACTTTCCTGCTATGTGTCAAAGAAGTTGGGTTGCCTGGCAACAAGGTCATGCTTGTCACAGCACGTTTCCACTTTGACAGTCGTGAGGCGGGAGTCAGGCAACAAAGACATCAGGTGTTGCTTCTCACCGATTGTTTGCAAACGCTTCTGTCCACCTCCAACGGCTGCTGTCCCTCAGTGTGTGTGTGTGTGTGTTTGCTGCTTGAGTGGTCGGTCACTGAGTGCAACTCTCTGCGGAAGCTTTGCTCACGTCGTATTGTCAGACACAAAGAAAGACACACTTCTGGGTGGCTGGTCTGGTTAGGCTAGGAAATCTTACACACACACACACACGCACGCACGCACGCACGCTTCTAAATTACAGTGTGTAGATGTGATGAACCCTGAGAGGGAGGCAGATTAAAAGAGACCATGAGGCAGTGATCTAATGATTTGTCTCCATGCATTTGTTCAGCTCCACTGGTTATTTTTGTCTCCAGGTTCTTCCATTTTCAAAGATTTTCTCCTCTGTTTCACCTTCGCTCTCCTCTCCCTTTTTCTGATTGTTGACATTGGCAGTGTGAGTGTGTGTGTGCTGCTGGCACCAGCTAAGTGAGAGCAGCACACTGCAGCCCACTTTTCAGTCCAGGCCACTGCAAGGGCACGCATGCTTCATAGCAGCAATGACATCATGCATCCTCGCCTAAAAGCAGGCAGCTGTAAGACCTTGCAATAGTTCATGTTAAAGTGTGCAATTCACAAAACTTTTCCTTCAAACATCCACATAGCAGTTTAGATTATGTACTGGTCGACCAGTTTGTCATTAACATCTAAACAGAGGCACATTAAATCAGTGACACATGCATTTTACTGATCAGTAACCTAAATGATACACAGCTGCAGAATATTGATCTGATTATCGTCTCAGCTGGTCCTCCAGTTGTCTTCCACTGGAGGCCAGGGAGTCTGCACCAACTGGTCCCATTTTTCACCAAAGTGTTTATTATTTTACATTAAAAATGATCTATTTTCCTTTATTAATTTTAGAGTACCAGGTTAATCCTGTTAAAGGACATTTTTTTGTGCTAATTCTCCTAAAAGCTTCTCGTCTTTTCATTTGCTAGAGTTTATATTAACCTTATCAAATGTGATTACCCATCTCAGTAAGTGACGGTACAAATTAGGTAATGATGTCACTCACCGCCACTCAAACTAAATACATTGGCTAATTTGCTGACTCGGTGACTAAAAAGAGCTACAGAGGTAGTTCATACAGGAAGTGAACAGGTCATGACATCATTTCCTTAATTGCTTGCCTGGACAGGAAGTGTGCTGACAGTTATTTTTAGTTTCCACTGAGTTAACTTGTTAAAATATTAATGTTTTTTAGTTTATTCATATTTTAATGAGTCTGCTGACTTTTTCTCATCAAGGTTCATGTTTTCTATCCTGCCATTTGTGTTATTGTTGCTATGGTACTTTAATTTCCATGTTAAGAAGACATATTTTTACATTTTTATTCATTAGAGGCATTAAGTTTAGGCTGATAAAATATTACTTAGGGTAATAATGATTTTTTTATCTACTAATTTTAGCTCAATTCTGAGATGTGAAGAATATCAGAGGAACTAATCACTTTCTGATGATTATAACTTTGATTTTTGGTTTTTACACCACATCTTTAACCTTGAAAGTTCATAAAGCTTTATTGAAATAAGAATGTCTCATGATGATGCGGCTCTCTGTCAGATTTACATTTGATTCTAGAATCTCTAAAAAGCAAAATCCAGCTGAAATGTCTGACTCCAAATATAGCAGAGATAGTGATTTTTTTTTTTTGGCTAATGGTGAAAACTGCAGCGCAGTAGCTGCTGAGATGGAAAGGTCAAGAGAGCAAGCTAAAACCACTCCATAGCCCACAGTTATTGATTTCTTCCACAGTAAAGCTTTGCTGAAGAAAAACATCTGGGGACGCTTCTGTGTGTTTTAACTCTACTTTGTTTTACACAATATCTGGCCTGTGTGCCCCTCAGAATAAACTGCATACATTTAAAAGGGCTCAGTTTGCTGCTGCGCTCAAACACACACATGGTGCAATCAAATGCTTGAATTCAGGATGCTTGCAGTGTGTGTGTGTGTGTGTGTGTGTGTGTGTGTGTGTGTGTGTGTGTGTGTGTGTGTGTGTGTGTGTGAGAGCCTTTATCTTAATGTGAGCCATCAGTGGTACCACTGACTCGGATTTGGTTAGGGTTAGGGTCTGAGTGGCTGTAATTACCTCTGTAGTTATTATCAGGGTGGTGTAATGATTATATTTACACATTATTTAATGATCCATAAGATGTGAGATTCCATAGGAAATATGATCAATCTTAGGGATCTTTGGATAACTTAAACCAGAAGATTGGCACTTTTCATTGCAGGGATTATGTAACCACTTCATATTAACTCAGAGACAAAAGAGTCAAGTTTTAAAAGTTTAAAGATTTATTACTAAACATATTTAAACTAGACTAACTTTAAACACTAAATGTATGGTGTAACTAAGGTGAAGTGAGACAGAGAATGGTGTAGTGTGGAATGTTGTTCAGAACCAGCAAATCCAGAGAAACGATGGGAGTGAAGATGATGCTTCACACTAAGCTTTGGTTTGGAGATTTATAACACACATTGAGATGCCATTCTGCTGGCCTACGTACCCTTTGCGGAAGTCCCCATTAGATCAGGAATGTCGAGGTCCAGCTTGACCTTCTCTGGAACCGAAGCCGGTAGGAAAAGCAGCGGTTGCCGACCAGACCAGTCTTGAGATACTTCCGAGTCACGACAGTTTTATTGGCATCTAGCAAGACCCAAAAAGGGGTCGTGATGGTTCAGCTTTTATTCTGAAAGGAACCGTTGCAGCAGGTGGAACATGCAACAGATTTATCCAGCTTGTCGTTAGGTTATTTCGGCTGAAGAGGAAAGTTACGGGTTGGCCACTCCGACAACTTCTCTAGAAAGCTTTGAACTGAAGTTTAAGGTGACGTGGGCATAGTTTTATAATTTGGATGTTTTGATTTACGGCCGAATCAAAAAGGGACAGATTTACCAAGCACCAACAAAACCACACCTCCATCAGATCTGGAAGATTCTGATTGGATCAGAAAAGGAAATGTGTCACGTGACTTAACCTCACGTGTGATCAGTCTCTAGTGGAAACATTTAAAGTTATATTACTTATAACTACTGATTATAAACATTTTCATTTCACAGATTGGTTCACATTTTATTATTTGGCTAACACTTTGTTTGATTAGCTTTATTAAAAATAGTTCTTCTGATTTATTAAAAAGAAAGAGTTTGTCTTGTTTCTTCTCTTGAGCTGGAAAGGAAACAGTTTTAGAAACAAATGCATGACCTTGAGGCAGTCTCTTGCAGATTAGTTCTTCTTGAAGAGAGGGAAATAACCTTCAGTGGAATAGCTCCTTCATCACGTTACAGTGGAAACTAATGATTGTTGGTATAATAATCAATCTACCACCTGCTTATTTCTACTAGAACAACTTTGTCTAGAGGAATGTGTATTTTTTAAATATAAAATCAGTCAGCTACACACACAAACATTTTCTCTGATTAGATTCATTTTGGCTGAAGTAAACACTTTGAGCACAAAACTAATCATCCATTGGCTGATATCTGTAATACGCAGCTAGCCATTTCCTTTGGAAACATTCTGTAAGAATAATTCTGTCACTCCACACGTCAGAACCTTTTGTATAACAAAGACGACCAGCGCAGATAACTCGCTTCTATAAAGAAACTGGGCGTTCCAGGAGCAAGTGCTCACTGTGTAAACACTCCTGTAACTTCTATTAGACCAGATGGATGAATGAGCTCCAGCCCAAGGACATCGACAGCCATGAAGGAAGGTGGTGGTCCATCCTCCCAGCAGCAGTTAGAATAGATCCATCACAGCTCCCAACAAAACCAGTCAACCCTTTTGCATCCCTGCTGCTTTTGTTGTTCTAGTTGTATTCTCATCACCTCGTCTCCATCATGCCTTCCTTCATCTGCATTTTCTAATAAAGGGGTTTACTATTAACTCTGAATAGTGTTTCATGTCCTTGGGTGATGAGCTAATGACCGTTTGAAAGCAGATCTTATTGTGAAAACTATTTCATGAGAATATTCAGGCCTGGAGGATGATGTGGATCAATGTGGATGAAGGCCGAAGGACACCTTCAAGGTTTTTGAGGAGGGGGCGATGGACTCAGAGGGGAGGTGGGCCCCACGGAGACACCCACAGCCCCAGGCATGTGTCAGGGCTCACCAAAGGCAAAAAACTGTCCAAGGACGCTGTGCAGCCGTCGCAGGCATCAACACACACCGGGTGGTTAGAACTCTTGAAGCGTGGGCTGCCTAACGCGTGACCATGTAAAGCAGAAGGCATGTAAATGAGGAGCTCCACTGCACACACATTTTTGAATAGTTCACTTAATGACCGACTGCGGTGCAGCGATTAGCCACGCGGCCGGCGTGCTAACGGCCGAGGCGACCACGTGTCCATTATTGTGATGAGTGAGTACATCTGACTCCCGCCTCTCTGCAGCAGACAGAAAACACACACCACACTCTGTTCCGTTACATATCTTATTCACTTTATTAGTTTATTTTTGCGGCAGCTTTGCAAAACAAACCCAAGAACACAGCGGATCCAATCGCTGCCTCCTTTTTCTATATTCATGAGGATTTTGCAAATGACGGCGGGCCTCATTCAGTTGTCGGGTGAGTCATGTGACCAGAGCAGAAGGGTCTAAGGGCACGTGGGTGGGGGATCCACACCTGCTCCAATCTGCTGAGAGGGAGCTGCTTTTTGCATAACAGACACTGACTGATGGGCTTTTTTAAAAAAAAAAACTCCTTTCACCAAATAAAACAGAACACACTTTGCAGCTGCTTAAACGCTCCTATAAACTCACCAGAGGACACACTTCTTTATATATAAATGAGTTAGATATAATTTAAATGACACATGTACACATGATGATTATTTAGCTCCTGCAAAAATAAACAATAACAAAAAAGATTTTAAAAGACTGTTGTCACCCCACTAATCTGCTGGGCTGTGCTTCTACCACACAGGATCTTTATTCTTGATGCAAGACTTCAAAAATGATATTACAAAAAGCTAATATTAATAACATGAATGAACATGCATGAATGCATGTGACTACTCCCAAGTCCATTCCTGACAGAAATGTGTGAAGAAGGCAAGTTTCCAACCGCTCGGCTGTTCCTTCTCTCAACATCTAGAACCAAAAAGGAAAAGATCAAACACTGCAAAGAAGGATTTGACCTTTGTGCCATGCTTTTTCATATTTTTGTCTTTAATGTATTCTCCTGCGATGGAGTTCATCTGGTTCCAACTGGGAAAAACAGGAAACTCCTATAAAAAGGAATAACTGACAAGGCCACTAGTCAATTTGAACATCCTAGAACCCCCGTTCCAGGAGCGTCTTCGTCTCACTTTGTTTAAATTATAAAGCAAACTGCATCACTGCAATGCAAAAGGGATCAAAGCTGTGCAATAAGGCCTACTGCTAGATTATCTAGGTCTGACCATAAAGATGAGGTTTCAAAACCAACTGTCGATGATAAAAACAACAAATGATTCAAATGAATTCTTACATCAATGATGTGGTTAAAAATTCATGCTGAACAGAGGAGAATCATTCCTCTGCAAGACAAAAACAAAGGAATTATCAGACAGCAGTGTCTGCTTCAATTTACTAATGCACCCCACTCCTACTGCTGGGGGGTGGGGTGGGGGGTGCTGAAAGCTGGGGTGCCTGTGGGGGTGTGTCGGGACCCTGGAGCAGCCATCTGCCACCCTGCTCCAGCCAGCCTGATCCTTATTCTCAGTCCGGCCCGGCCCAGCAGGCCCGCTGTCGTCCCCCCAGAGGGGCTCCTGCTGGGGGGGTTTTACAGTGAGGGAAGGGGGGAGGAGATGTGGAGCTCTACTGAGGCCCTTTGACCTGGTCCCTGGCCCGGCAGGGCAGACGTCCCAGACAGACAGCATCGTGTCTACACCCCGCCTCCTTTATCAGCCTTTCAGACCCCAGGGGCTGATGGGGAGACAGAGGAAGGGGGGTCAGGATGGGGGGTTTGGCAAATCAACACAATGAAGAGACTGACCCCCCCCCCATTCAGCTTTGGGCACAGATCTCTTTATGGACAAGGCTGACCCCCCCTCCCCCAAAATCCCTCAGCAGCTACAGCTGGTGGAGCTCACAGACTGTGTGTGACCAGTCACGCCAAAAACAGCAGATAGTTTTCAGACACGTCCTATGTTATGTTTTCTGCTGGATACCCTTGTGGCTGCCCCCAGCAGGCGTGGCGTTTAGTCGTCTTCACGAATAATTAAACTCGGGGCATCAGCAGGGTGTGTGTGTAGGGTAGTCTAGGCAGTAGTGGTTAGCTTTTGGATGGTACGGTTGTAGTACTGGGTGGTGAGAGCCTCCAGAGGGCTCCAGTGGTGCGCGTGCAGCTCGATGACCTCCATGAGCAGAGAGCGAGTCAGCTGAGACTCGACCGGACTCAGCATCTTGTCCCTCACGGCCGCTAAGAGCTCCGTCATCATCTCAGGGAGCTGCTCCTCCAGGAGGCGCCCCGTACTTTGCAGCTAGAGGAGGAAGAGGAAAACTGGGATAAAGGATGGGTAGAAGTTACGAAGATAGAGACAGAAGGACTCTCTCCCTCTTCCTCTCACACACCCTCAGGACATGAAGCTGTGTTTTTAACATCTAGGAACTGTTTGTGATTCAGCACTCGACTACCTTCCCTCTCTCTATCCCCAAGGCCTTCCTCTGCTTCTAAAGAAGAAACCCAGTTTATTTGAATTTGCTGCTTCCTGTTGGTCTGGTTCTATACGGTTTGTAAACAGTATGACGTCAGCGAGAATGCGCGCGCATCTTGGCAACAAAGAATGGCGTCGTTTCAGGCTTTATCAAGCTACGCTGCGGGGTTATTTGTGTTTATTCACTTAGCAGATGCTTTTATCCAAAGCGACTTACAATTTATAACCTATAGGGCATGTTGTGAGCTGTGAGGGAAACCGGAGTACCCGGAGGAAACCCACGCATGCATGGGGAGAACACGAAACTCCACACAGAAAGGCCGCAGCCGAGTTTTGAACCTGCAACCTTTGTGCTGCGAGGCAACAGTGCTAACCACTGTTATCACCGACAAATCTTGACAGTTATATTATTAAACTCACTTTAACAAATGGCAACAGACTCCCGGATCCCTGTGGCATTACGGAATGGGTGGAAGATGTAGGTGCGTGGCCAGATATCACCCAGTGGCCCAATATATATACGTTTTTAGTGGAGAGGCCCAGTAAGTACCCTCGTGAGAAGCAACGGGCATACAAATCGTTAGATGCATACAACTATGTTGTCTGTGGCCACGTACAGAAAGTAAAATATCACGACATAGACTCTGAGTTTTGCGTCTTGAAGGCAGAAGTCCTTCCTAGCCAAAGACAAGGACACAAGACTGCTATGTACGAGGCTTGGGTCATAGTAAACAAACCAGAGAACTACGTCTTCACAGCCAACTGTACCTGTGTGGCAGGGTGAGTACTTTAATAGGTTTCTTTTTTAGCGTGCTCAGAGCCCTTGACTGCTTTATTTGACACTACACTCAGGGAGCTCTCACCACAGGAATTAAATATAAAATGTGAAGAAACATTTCAAAGACTAAAAACTACAACGCAGCATCATCAACTAGAAAAACTACAAGGCAGCAGTCAAAGTCACATGACTGGTATATCCATAGGGCTGGTAGGATCACAAGTACTAAATTTCACCATGTGGCCACAACAGACAAACACAGCAAAAATTACATAATGGACATAATGCAGTACAATGAGACCACATTAAATGTCCCATCTGTTATCTGGGGTGAAAATATGGAGCAAACCGCTAGACAACAGTATAGTGATTTTATGGCAAAAACATCACCAAGGACCCCTGGTCAGCACCTGTGTTTTAGTTGTTCAGCCATCCGAGCCACACCTAGGATCATCCCCAGATGGGATTGTTACACGTGCCTGCTGTGGTAAAGGAGTGGTGGCGATCAAATGTCGTACCGAGAGTCTTCAGGGAAGTACAGAAGACCCCAGGTTCTGCCTGACAACTTGTTAGTGTTGAAGCCCTCACACCCATACTACTACCAGATTCAGCTCCACATGTTTGTGTGTGATGTAAACTACTGTGACTTTGTGGTGTGGACAAAGAAAGAGTTCATTGTGCAGCGTGTTGATAAAGACCACAAACTTCTGCGGGACACTTTGCCTAAAGCTCAGGAGGCCTTCATTTCCCACGCGTTGCCAGAGCTCCTAACGAGAAGATTCGATCCTGCATTGCAATCACAGAGAGCATGCTAATTCTGTGGAAGGCCGGATTTTGCCAAAACAGGAATGTAATAAATGCAGCAGTCGCTTTCATTACAGCCGTGTAAACATCAGACGCAAACCAACAATGTGGTTATGTCTGGACTGTGCTGAGTCTTGATCTTTCCAAGTTAATTTAAAACAAGCCTTCTGGCTAATTCTTGGATTTAAAAGAATGGTATTGATGCTCAAATAAATTTCAAATAAACAATTCTTTAGGATTCAACGATGTTTGTATGTGTATTTTAGTTTGCATCTAATGTTGAAACCACAAAGATTTAATTTGTGCACAATCAAAATGTTTCACATAAAGGAAATGTAAAATTGTTTATTTAGTACAAAAAAACCATAGCAGCAGCTTTACATTTTTTCTTACAGTAATTCAAAATCAGTTTTACATATTCTAGCAAATGACAGTAGCACTGTTTATAGTCTGCATGGGATCATAGAACTGGATATTATTGGTGTTTTTTTCTTTTTGGGAACAACACTCTTACAGAGGTTTGTTAGAGCAGCACACACAATCACAATGTCATCTAGAACATTGAGCTGTGGCACAGGAATTACGGTTAGCAAATTCTTCCAGTTCTTCCAGCGTCCTATTACTCGTTCAACGTGTATCCTGACATGAGACAGTTGTCTTGATGAGTCTACCTCCTGAGCAGAGAGTTGCTTTTTCCCTTCTGTGAAATGACGTATACGGCGAGTGGCTCCAGAAGCGGCAAGTTCATCTCAGATTTGAAATCCTCTATCAGCTAGAATCTCAGCATTGCGTTCTAAAAGATATAAAAGCCTTTTGTTATTTGTTTGTCTGAAACCCTTCCACCCCATCCAGGTGACAGAAAGGAAATTGCTCCAGCTGGGGTGATGCCAATCAAATATTTAATTGTGTTGCTGTGTTTGTGATTTCACCATGTCTGGGCCCTAGCAGTTAGATTGCTAGGTCTAGCAATGAACATTTCTGTACAGTCTATTATGCACCGACATCGTTTGAAATTCCGTCTGAAAACTTTGGGCATGTTCTTTAGTACGGCTCCCTTACTTGGCCATTTAATGAGTGGTTTAAGGATTACAGACATGGCAGGTATCCAGCTTCGACAAATATTTGATATAGTTGTTTTAGAAACATTAAATCTGTACGCCAAATCCGTGTTGCTTAGACCCAGTCTTAATTTCATTAGCACAACCAATAGATGATCATGAGCTGTGAGTTTTTGGCAAATAATCTCCACACTGTCTGTTATTTTTATTAGCAGCCAATCAAAGACAAAAGTTGTAAGTCCTGTGAAAAAAAAATCAGTGCTCCCCTGTTGCACCTAATATTTGCATAGGAAAACGCTGCATTTTTCAGCTCCTCATTAAGTTTACAATTTCCTGCCTTAAGTTATTCAAACTCCAGCTGCAGGTTGACATGGTTTTTATGAAGCCCAGCATATCTTTGTTGTAGGCCATCATATTCCCTCCTTGGAACAGGGAGGTCCTCTTCAGCTTTAACACAGAAATGTGAAAAGTTAGCAAATGCAGCAACAAGTCCACACAAATATTTTTATTGTAAAAGAAAATACAAAATCCTTACCGGCATGGTGAGCCAATGATGGTTGCTGATCTGTATTCTCTGAAGCAGCCAGCTGATCTGATGGCGTGCAAGACATTTCATCTCTTCTCCTTTTCCGTTGACACCTTAATGTAACAGGTCTGAATTACTTAAGAGTTACACAAATCAAGAGTCATGATATAATAACACTGAACATCATGAATAGCAAGAATTTCTAAATATTTAATATATCTGTGATGGGAAGGTGTAAACATTACCTGTCCATCTTTGCACGGGGGTTTTGACTTCGCTTTGTGTACGTAAACGCAGAAGGCACAAAATCAGGACTCGAGGAGTCCAATGACGCCTCGCCTGTAAATAAATAGACTGCTTAAAAGCAAACCAGCAAACACAACTTACTTTATTTAATGGAACACACGTTAACCAGCTTTCTGCTGTAATCTTAGTACATAATTACCTTACCTGATATAAAATGGGCGCTACAAACTCGAGCATTTCAGATGGTGTTTTCAGTCCAGTTTTCATCAACCCTTTTGATGGCCTGCAGCCACAGACGCCTCCGATTTTGTTGAAATGGATGTGCTCCCTTCGGAATTCTGTAAAATTTCAGTCCACTGCTTGAAGAGAAGCGATTCTGGCATCCACACACGGAACAACCCGACATTTTTCATGTGCTCAGAACTTAGAAACAAAGGGTTTAAAACGCTGTTTTAGTGTCGAGTGTGAACGAGGAAGCGCTTCATTCTCGTCACCAGGGTGCGCGCACAACTTTTGATGAAGTGGGTAGTAAAAGGGTCTATAGGTGGAGATGACTTTTCACTGAGACGAGTGTCCGCCACATAAACTTCTGTCTTTATTAGACTGACTTCTGTTTTTTTTGTGTGTGTAAAAATCAGATCAAGTATATATAATGGGAAAATAAAAAGCTTACCTAAAGGCCTCAGTTCAGAAAAAGAGTATATGTACTTTAGGACTGATAGGCTAACAGCTAGTCTGAGTACAGCCAAGACCAGGATGGATTGGTGCCGTCTTAAATGCCTCTAATCTCCAGAATTTAATAACATCTGATATTAAATGACTTATAAACCTTAACTGAGGACATTTCTGCAGAACTTGACCTCTGGACACCTCAGAAGGTCAATATTTTACTGCTGACATTAACAACTGTAAATAACCTCGTCATGCTAAACTGTCATGATGCTGTTCAGGAAGCTATTGAAGAGAGTAATTATTTATAACGTTACACAAAAAAACACCTTAAAATAGATCAAATGTTAAGTTTCCCAGGTAAGAGCTTGTTGTTGTTGTTGCTTGTTTTACACAAAAACATTTCCTAGAATCTTAATGAAAACAATACCAGAAACAAAACGCAGCTAGTTCCTATCTAAAAATAAACTAACCGTTAAAGACTTTTTATTTATAACCTAGAGAATGGCACAGGTTAGCAGAATAACACAAGCTGTAACCCCTCTCCTGGTTTTATTTCAGCTCTATTATATCACAAGTTGTGTTCTTTGGAAGGACCAACTGGACTTCTGTGGGACATTTCTGCAAACTTGTCAGAGGGCTGGTTGAAGGTTAAGACCTTTAGGTTGTGTGTGTGTGTGTGTGTGTGTGTGGTCCATACCTCCATGGAGCAACAAAGGACCGCATCTTCTTTAACATCTGTTGACTCGAGGAGCTGCAAAGAACAACAAACACTCCATGACTATCCAAGTGGGAAAATGCCACACAAACTCGAGTAGAACAGCAGCCACCTAAATGTGGCGACATCAGGGGCGCAGATAGGATTTTCAAACTGGGGGGGGGGGGGGGGGGGCAAAGTTCCAATGTACCCTCCCCCAAAAACATACACACACGCACGCACGCACATTCACATACACAAACTATTGCAAGAGCCTTAACTAGAGCTCAGTCAGTATGTGTAATTTCATCCAATGGTTTACGACAAAACTAACTATTATATATGTGTTTGAAGCCATTGTGTACAGTGGCCCTGAAGTGCAAACCACAAAAACAAATCACTTAACGCAACAACAAATTGAAACACGCAACAACAAATCACTTAATGCAAAAACAAATCACAAAACGCACAACAAATTGAAGAGCGCAAAAACAAATTCACTAAATGCAACAACAAATCACTTAGCGCAAAAAATCCTGCCATGTGAATTCATGGATTTTTTTTTCACATTCTGTCTCTCACAGTTGAAGTGTACCTATGATGAAAATTACTGACCTCTGTCATCATTTTAAGTGGGAGAACTTGCACAATCGGTGGCTGACTAAATACTTTTTTGCCCCACTGTATGTATTCGGATATATGTATGTCGATGATTCGGACACTGTTGTATACTCATTGTTTGTTAAATAAAGTAAAAAAAATAAAAAATAAAAACACGTTTGGCAGAACAACTTCCGGTTCAAAAGGCCAACGGATCCATCATCCAATCAGTGATGCCTGTTGTTGCAGCATTGGTACCTACCTTTTCCGGTTTGTGTTTTGTTGTTGCGCTTTTCAATTTGTTGTGCGTTTAGTGATTTGTTTTTGTGTTTAGTGAATTTGTTTTTGCGCTTTTCAATTTGTTGTGCGTTTAGTGATTTGTTAGGCTTTTCAATTTGTTGTGAGTTTAGTGATTTGTATTTGCGCTTAGTGATTGTTTGTTGCATTTACTGAATTTGTTTTTGCGCTTTTCAATTTGTTGTGCATTTAGTGATTTGTTTTTGCGCTTAGTGATTTGTTGTTGCATTTAGTGAATTTGTTTTTGCGCTTTTCAATTTGTTGTGCATTTAGTGATTTGTTTTTGCGCTTAGTGATTTGTTGTTGCATTTAGTGAATTTGTTTTTGCGCTTTTCAATTTGTTGTGCGTTTTGTGATTTGTTTTTGCATTAAGTGATTTGTTGTTGCGTGTTTAAATTTGTTGTTGCGTTAAGTGATTTGTTTTTGTGGTTTGCACTTCAGGGCCACCGTAATTGTGCAATGGAACGCTGCCAACAAAGCTCTGCCTGATCAACACTATCCAAGTCAGTCATTTGTTATTCTCCCAATCAATTACTAAGCAAAACCTCATGCTTTTATGCAAGACATTAAATGATTTTCAGCAGAAAACATAAAAGCCCTAAAAAACTGCACATAAAATATATTTAAAAACAATATTCACTTATAGGGTTGGCCATTGTTTGATTTTGAACGATTCCAATTCCTTGTTTCAATTCCGGTTCCTATCGATTCCCGATTCTGATTCTTTCAAGACATGACATGTGTTACGTGATCCAGCTAACCACAGGTCCTACTTGATGAAATAATCTTAACTTCAACATGAATTTTTATTCTATGAACAATAACATCACCTTCATTTAGACAAACACATGTTTTGGAGAAAAAAAGAAAAAGACTTGCAGCACAACCAGTGTGTTTGTTTCTGACCACAACCAAAGTCTGGAAGAAGCCTCTAGGATGAGAGGCTAAATGTCTCCAACACATCCAGAAACGTCCAGCTGTTTTCAGCTAAAACTCTCAGGATGATCATGTCCAGGATGACTGAGAACTACACCCCCATGCTGCAGCAGCATTCGGTCAGAACAGGAAGTGAAACTTAAATGTAGCTGCTGTCAGTAACAATCCAACAGATTTTAAACATTAAAACTCTCAACAGAAATAGTTCAAAAATGAAATAATTTTATTTATTTATTATTATTATAATTATTTATTGTGGCAGAAGCTGGTGTGGTCCACCACAGACAAAGCTGCTCTAGCATGATGACTTTATTCTACAGGTTATTGTTCAGCCTTCTGACGCACACACACACACACACACACACACACACACACACACACACACACACACACACACACACACACACACACACACACACACACACACACACACACACACACACACACACACACACACACACACACACACACACACACTGTTAAGTTCCTCTGTTAGGTGACACAATCCCCACTTAACAGGGATCATCTACTGGAGAAATACGCAGGATTCCACTCAGGACTTCATGGCTTCACTTTTCACTTTCCTTTATTTCACTTCCGTTTCATATTATCCAAGACGGAAATAGGGGATGACGAAGCACGAAGCAAGGCAAAGCCTACGAGCAGGTGAAAAACCTTAAACAAAAACATTGTTTGTGCTAAGAAACAGTGTAAATTGTGTAACATTTCATTATAAACAGCCATTCATAAAATGCGTGATTTCAATGTGATATTCATTTATAAATGTTAGCACGAATATATATATATATATCATTAATTCATTCGGATATATCATTAATTCATTCGGATATATTAATTCATTCGGACCCAAACTCACTTAAATTCATCACTTCAGCTATTTGTTTCACTCTTACATAACAACATCAAATAATGAGCAGGTTTGAAGTAACTTATTAACAATCAAACATCAAACTGACTTCTAAACACCCGACACAAACATTTATGATGCGCACCGGAGACCACAGCTCCGAGCTGCGCTTAACATCACACATCAGCTGATCGGCATGCGCACACGCGTTACAAATCTGCGTCTTACCGGCTGCCTTTCCAGTCTTTAGATGAGTGTCATTTACCGCTTCGGAGGATCACCACGTTAGTGCTTCCTCTAGGAACTTTCACAAACAGTTCTCTCTCCTGACATGTCCTACATAAAACATTTCAGGCAGGAAATGCGCGGTGACGTTCTGAGATGTGGAGCGACGCGCGCACTGACCTTAATTAGTTCCAGCTGTTTCATCTACCACCTACCCCGTGTGTCTTATTTATTTTCTTTATTTTTACATATTTTTTCCATTCTTTTTTATATTTTTATTTTAGTTTTTATTTCAATCTAAATATGCTGTATGATCATGATTTTGACCGCACACACACACACACACACACACGAGTGTTGGTGAGCGGCTGCGTCTGACTGCTGATGCTCCGTGTGTTTTTATTTCTGCAGTGAGACAAACTCACCTCACACCGTCCAGAGTTAGTTCTTTAAAGCTTCTATTAAATCCACCGTGTTGGCGTATTTTAACACGTTTCCTCTAAGCTGCAGGAGTTACAATTTACATTACGGAGTAAAAGTTCAGCAGACATGTTTGTTTATATCTGGGTGGGGGAGGGGTACTTGTGCTGCACACAGACACCTGGTGTGATCAGCTCTGAAAAGCGTTGATCACAATCTGCTCGCCGGCCACATCAGTTGGGTGCATCACCGGAGGACAAAGTGATGCGCCTCATTCCACAGCAGCGAAAAGCATCAGGCACAAATAGAAGACAGAAAAACATAAAAGGAAATGAGCCGACATGAACGATCAAGTGTTAAATTAGTTTTTGAGATGGCGACACCTAATTTGATAACGTTACTGTGGCCGTGCTCAGGACGCAGATGTCTGGAGCGCGTCAACAATCAGAGCTTTGCATGTGAAAGCTGGTTAAGGTTAGGATGGGGTGAGGGGAATGTTAAATTGCAAGAGGGTAAATGTCACAATTTGGTTAAATGTCCGTTTTACGGCGGGTGTCAGTACCAACGCTCTGGCACAGCGCGTTGCCCCCCCCGACGCGCAGGAGATTGTCACCTGCTGACAGCAGGCTGCTGTCTTTTCCGAGGGCTGCATCTTGCCGGTCATTGTCATGTGACAGCGACTAGTCGATGACAGGCATAAAAAGTCACTATAGTGAAGTCGACTAGTTCATACAACCCCTATTGCTCCTCAGTGTTCTGCAGCATAATCAGCACGTTCTCTTTGAACTTGATATCAAATTTTCGCCTCCTCTTCGTCTCCGCAACTGCCATGGTTAAAGTTACCCTCGTGGCCTGTCACTGGCAAATCAAAAGTGAGACGGATGACACAACCGCCGGCTTCTTCAGTTCTAAGGTCAAATGGTGGAGAGTCCCAGATTTAAACCCAGTGGGAGTTTCCCCCCGAAGAGGGAACAAAAGACCCCCTGATGATCTTCTACATAAACACATTGAGGGTGGGTGTGGGTCCTATTCAGCCAGAGTTTCGGGTGAGCTCATTGTGAAGCCTGGCCCCACCCTATCATGTGAATTCCTGAGGTCAGATGGCCCAGGATATGCGTGGGCGTTGATGCATCTGGGAAGGGATCTCAAAACTGGATTATAGATGGCAGACAGTTAGTGTCGTAAACCACCGCCTCTGTTCAAAGATGGTTGCTCACAGTGGACATATATGGCTTTCTTTACTCCTCTTTCAAACCATCTGTCCTCTCTGTCCAAAATGTGAACGTTGGCATCCTCGAAAGAGTGACCTTTGTCCTTTAGATGCAAATGAACTGCTGAGTCCTGTCCCGTGGAGGTGGCTCTTCTATGTTGTGCCATGCGCTTGTGAAGTGGCTGTTTGGTTTCTCCGATGTAGAGGTCTGGGCATTCCTCGCTGCACTGTACAGCATACACCACATTGTTCAGTTTGTGTTTAGGAGTTTTGTCTTTCGGGTGAACCAGTTTCTGTCTGAGTGTGTTGCTGGGCCTGAAGTACACTGGTATGTTGTGTTTGGAGAAAACCCTCCTGAGTTTCTTTGATACACCGGCTACATAGGGGATGACAAGGTTGTTGCGTCTGTCTTTCTCGTTCTCCCTCGCTGGTGTCTGGTCTTCTTTTCTGTGCATCTTTGCTGACCTTATAAACGCCCAATTAGGATAGCCACATGTTTTA